AGACACCTGCCTAACAAACATGAAGCCCTGAATTCAAACTTCAGTACCATCACCAAAAAAAAAAAAAAAGTAAATTTTATGTTTTGTGGATTTTGACCACAGTTTTTTTAAGAGAGGAGGTGAGCCCAATTATGCATGTGCCACAGGCGGGTTCAGTAATGAATCTTGGGGTGGAAGTCTGTATTCTATGCAGATGTACCCCACATCCAGGCTTGGTAGGCTCCCCTGCAAACCTCATCAGGCCACGTGATCTTCCCCAGACTGCGTTATCTGGAAAACTCAAAGCAACATCTTCACACACATTGACCATTTTCCATGACACCCCAAACTGACTTCATTCTTCTAATATTTTTGCAAATTGGTAAGATACTACCTCTCCAATAATAATAGTAATAACTAGCTGGTTTGGAGGTTTTATTTGTTTTGTTTTTGCAGTGCTGGGGTTGAAACCTAGCATGACCTCTTGCATGCTATGCAAGCACTCTACCACTGAGCTATACCACAGGGCCACATTTATTGAAAATCTACTCCAAAGGAATTATGTCATGCATGATTAGTAAGGTGAAAATTTTAACTAGTCAAAAACAACCCTGGAAGTTCCTTTAAATTGCCAACAAAGTACAGTGCACATGATTTAGTGTAAACAAACAATGGACCCATACAGGAATTCTCAAATTTATATGCAGATTTCTGGGCATTCACACCATTCTGCATTAAAGGTAACTATAAATATTCCTACTGGAGAAAGGATGGGGGGGGAGTGAGACATTCCTGCTGACCTGCAGGTTTTACTTGATTGTTCTTTTAATATTAAAGCGTCATCAAAGACTGACAACTGAGAGATTGTCATCAGCCAATATCCCCTCAATGCCATCTTCCACAGTCTGAAGAAGAGGATGGAACTTCATGGTCACAGGAAGACAAATTCACAGTGCAAACCAGACAGGCTATTTACAGGCACCTGCAGGGAAAAAGATGGCCTTCTTTTAGAAATCTCATCAACTTTGGAAGCAGAGGGAAAGAACAAACAGTTAAATAAGTCTTTGGGGGAAGGAAGAGGCAGCAAAATCTTTGATTTCATTTTAATTTTATATGGGAAACCTTACATATGCAACTTATAGACTGTAAGTGGGGAAGGGAACAATGAGAATCTCAGCCTTTTCTGTGTTCTTTTACTTGTTTATTTTAAATACATGTATCCACAAAGCAACAAAAAGGAAGTCACTAAGGCTACATGTATTCATGTGAGTAAACTCGGGAAATTAAACTGCTATCTGGGAATGGTGAGTTGAAAAGGCAAGATACAGAGCCAGGTGCCACTGGCTCACGCCTGTAATCCTAGTTACTTGGGAGGTTGAGACTGGAAGATCGTGGTTTGAGGCCAATTTAGGCAAAAAGTTTGTGAGACACCCCCACCCCATCTCCAAAATACCCAGAGCAAAATGGACTGAAGGTGTGGCTCAAGCATCTGCTTTGCAAGTGCAAGGCCCTGAGTTCAAACCCCAATCCCACCCTATCCTCCCAAAAAGGACAAGATACAGGATATGCAAAGAATTGGTAAAGTTTATGTCAAATTTGAAAAATGCAAAACAATACGGTTTACAAAATTGCTTATGGATTTATATTTCTATAGTAAAAATATAAAAACCTGCATGAGAATGATAGATCCAAGTCCTGTATGAAGATTTCCACTGGAAAAAGGAGAGGAGATGAAAGAGCACAGAGAATACCGGCTGAACCACTAATTTTTATTTCTTAATTGGCAGGTATATGGGTGTTAAGTTTATTATTACTATACTTTTCTCTGTGTCTGGAATGTTCCTTACCAAAAAAAAAAAAAAAAAAAAAAAGGAGTGGGTTGGGGAAGTCTCTCGAGTCTAAAGTCTCATTCTACTCATTCTAATGCACTAAGCCCTTTCCCTTCTTTTCCCAGCCTTTGCTTTCTAATTGACATTTAGCTGCCTGCAGCTACATTTCTAATAATCCGTGTGTCTTTTGGCCTCGATCTTGCTGGACTGAAGGAGCTAGGCCTATCTTTTCTTGGATTTCTACCACTTTCTCATTAATTATTGCTCCTATGTTCAACAGGCGCTGTGTGCATGCTTTGCTGTAGTTCTCCTTTTCCTTTGCAAACTGCTTCAGCCAGGCAGTCATAATGCCTCTCTCCCATGGTCACTGGTGGGGGTGGTAAGTAACCAAACCCTTCACTGTAAAACTTGGGTGAGGTGAGGTCAGCAAGATAGGTGACATGGTGATGGCACCTCAGGAAGGAAAATGACTCCAAGGCAGCTCACCTTGTTTTGAGCCTTGTTTGTGTTGCTGTGCAGTTGTAATGGAAAACGAATAAAAATAAAAATCCCGGGGCCCTTTTTGGCCTGAGCTTGAGAAATTAATCCCATTGTTCTGGCAGAATTCCAGCTCAGGTCCCTGCATTCTGCTGGTGGAAGCCTCCCAGTGCAGTTTTCAGGGGACGTAACTTTGCCCCCCCTCTTCCCGAGCCTCACTGGATAAGAATTAAAATAGTGCTGAGAATTACAGCTGTCCCAGTCCCATCCTGGAGGGGGCTGCATTTCATCTAGTTTGGAAGGATCCTTTCTCCTTGCCTGCCCTGGGGAGGAGGGACAGAGCTGGGATCAGGAAATTAAACTGCTATTTGCTACAGTTGAAATCTGCATGTTTGCCTGTGCTATGTGCTTTCATATAGTCAGACTCCTTGCATGAAAAGGTTTTTTGGGAATCCTCCTTCCCAAAACCCTACACATATATTTGTTATGTTCCATTTGTTTTGTAACATTTTTATTAGGCAAATTTAAAATGTTTCTGTATCTAAAGTACTTCGAAATTTATCTCCCCTCCATAGCAAAATGCTTTTGTTACCTCTTTTGTTTTTACGGATTTTTTTTTCACCTAACACTTTGCTTTCTTTCCCTTAAGAAATTTATTGCATTTCATGATGTGAGGAATGGATCTAAGATAATTCCTCTCCATGCAAACAATCTTCTGTTCCAAATGTTTCCTGAATTGTGATTTCCAATTGTGTGAATTCAGCAAATGACAACCTCTTGAAGAACTAGCTTTCAGTATCTAGAAAAAAAATAGGAATGTTAATGATACCTACCATATGAGTTTGTCCCAAGGATGGAACAAGACATGAGCTCCAAGCACATAGCATGCATGGCAAATACATGTCTGATAACTCATTTCTTCTTTTCATCTCTCTTTTTTTTTTTTTTTTCTTTTTTGGGGTACTTCGGCTTGAACTCAGGCCTCATGCTTGAACTCAGGCCTCATGCTTGCTAGGTAGGGGTTCTTACCCCTTGAGCCACTTCACCAGCCCTTTTGGTGATGAGTTTTTTCAAGATAGGTTCTCTTCCCTGGCTGGCTTCAAACCACAATCCTCCTGATTAGCTAGGATTACAGGCATGAGCCTCTGGCACCTCACTTCATCCCTTTTTTTATATGAATTAGTCTGTTTGGTTTTTTTCTTCATAGAAACTCTTTAACGTTCCACCAAGATCAGGCCTTGCTAGAATGTTCCAAATGTTGTCTGTCTCAAGTTTTATATTAGGAAGTTATTAAGTAAATGGGGTAGTAGTGGAAGAGAGGGGAAGCAGGCACTTTTCTGGAAAAGACCTCTTATTCCAACACATGCTGTGAATACTGTGCTGAACTTTTAGCTCCCCTCTCTCTTAGGTCAGAGAATCCTCTTCCAGGAGGTTCTTCTGTGGCCTCAAAATGCACCCTTGACCAAGTTGTCATGTCAGATCCGTGAGGGAAATCTGAGTTTCCTATGTGTAGGTTGTTTAATTTGGGAGATGGGGAAGAGGGGGATAGGAATTGGCCATGGGTTTGTTGCGTTCCAGGAAGAGGGAGGACTCTGCTTTTCTCAGATGAGTCATGGAAGAGAAACGTCTAATGTTTGCAAACATCTCCAGCCAAGCCTCTGCTTTCTGCTGCTCCACCCATCCCCCACCAGGGCAGCCTGGACCCACCTGAGAAAAGACACCGCTATATGGGAAGCAACTAAGAGAAGGAGGAAAATTGTCTTGTGTGTCGAGGGATCCCAGCATGTAAGACACAGGACAGGGATCCCAGCATGTAAGACACAGGACAG